CACTTTGTTTCAAGATTAATAATATATTTAATATAACTAGTAACAGTTAGTTAACCTCACCAATACAAGAGCTTTGCTCAATTCATTGTTGCCAATCATATAAATAGGAAACGTTCCTAGCCATTAGAGTACCGTCTGACTGTGATCCACCATGAAATTGACATTGTCAGATATCTTAATTGAAATCAGTTTAAGTGTATTCCAATATGTCTACAAAACAACCATAATATTTTTATCATATTTTATAATGTAGTGTTTATTTGTATTTACTTAAAGATCATCAAGAAACGTTTGATTTATAGCCCAGACATTTATCACTCAAACATAACAATTAACAAGAAGATGCCTTTTCGCTGCTTCACATTTTTATTAGTTTTAGATACAATTGTATAACTTATTACTTTCATTTCCCGATAAGAAAACAATAATATGTAAATTTTTCAATTTCATTGTTATACAGCTTATGCTCATTAAATGCCTCAGAAATGAATTCATTTTTCCTCTTATGAAAGGGCAAACATGAGTTTCTAAATGTTAAAATAACGGTTGTAGAGAATGTTAGTTACGTATCATAACAAAAATGTGGAAATACCTGTCATAAAGTTAGCAACATCCAAAAAAACTTAGTATTTTGACTTCCTTAAGAAATACAAAGTCATTATAACTACACTATTTAACAAAAGCAATAGAAGTAAAAGTTGTCTGAGGTACTTGGCAAATTAGCAAAAAATAACAAGCAATATATAAATTCTGCAAATTTCGCCTGCTGATAATGGAACGTCGATTTTAAACTTTAAACCTTTAAAATTGACAAAATGAAATTCAAGTACTATGCTACACCCTTCGCTAGGTAGGATCTGAGTACATCGCATTCGGTCTTGCCTCAATTTGACTTTTTGATTAGCCAATCAAATCATTGGCTTCAAAATGCTTAGGTGTAAGTCACGAATCTCCGTCATAAAACAGTCATTATCGGAAATTTCAATGTAAAAGCTACGTAGCGATGAGTAACGGAGCGAAACCATGATCTGATTTTACTAAGATCGCTGCTTCAGGTAGCCAACTTCCAGACATCTTTAGAATGCAGCACACACGAAAGACACGAAGAAGGCTATATGTCTTTTAAATATGTGGGTAAAAAAACAACACATTTTATATAACGTAATTATACGAGGATTTGTCAAAGTACACGTACACTGTCATCGATATTGGTAAATGGTTCACTTTAGGTACTTCTTATGTAAACAGTTTCAGGGCGTCATGCGAAAAAAACCCTTCTGTTTAACAATAAGATATTTAAAATTTGTTCAGGACTATATTGTTATTTAACGAGGGCTGTCGCTGAAGTAAAGAGACTTTCATCATAACTGCTTTATTTACACTCGTGTTAAAAATTTCTGCTTGAATATAGTTTAACTATATCATCTTAAAAAACGCTCTACATCAAATTTCCTTCTTTTTTAAAACTCGAAGTGTTTCCAAGGTAACATGTGTGACGGTCGACGAACATAAAATTGTATGGCGTCAAGAGAAAATTTGCCCACTTTAAACATTAGAAAAACGTAATAACGGCACTATTTTGCGCGCAAAATTTCTCTATGTGTTACGTAACAACGTCAATGTTTGTTTGTTTGGACTTCATAACATTATCAGTCGCTAAAAAAAAGCACTGTCTACGCGGAAAAAGTTGTAATGATGACAACCGGCGACGTTAAGCTACAAGCGCTCCGTTCTGCCATGAACATAGGAAAATAGACCTATAAATGGGTTCATGAGGCCGGAAAGTATAAATGCCGCTATTCATTAGAGTTTAGATGATATAAAGAGTTTGAGGAAGGTTCTTTAGAGGTGGTCGCTCTTCCTGTCTGAGATTGTCACTCATAAAGCGGATTAAAGTACAGATTGACATACACCGCAGGCTAAAACTAGAAAATTAGCCGCATCATATCTAAGGAGACAGTTTTTCGGATACTGCAAGATCTGAACATGAGCTAGATTAGTACCCCTACTTCTCACCGTCGACCTAAAAACCCAGTGCGTTGAGTCATTGTCAGAATATCTGGACTGTTACTAGAAAGAAGTTGATACGTTTCTAGACAGAATAGTCACCAAGAATAAAGCTTGACTATAAAATTATGACCTAGATATAACGGCCAAGTCGTCCATTTGGAAAATACAAAGCAACAACCGCCGAAGGATGTCAGTGTGTCACGATCAGGGGACAAGCACTGTGTGTCTTCTTTACGGACAGACAGAGAGGAATTGATGGCGGAATCTCGTCCTTTATATTGACACTTTTTTACAAATAGGTCGCACACCACAGGAAGTGTGTTCGCACTGGCGGAGACTAAGTAGAGAGAAAGCGCTGAAGGCGACGTCTTAAATAACGTAATTTAATAGTTTTTGTGCGCCATGATTAAGACAGTAATATGTGTATTTCTATAAAGATCTTTTAGTATTTCATGTATTTCTACAAATAATGTGGAATACTATTATAAAATATGACAATTTAGCCATGTGTTTTTAAATTTTGAGTTCACTAATGATATCTTTAGTGACAACGGTTGTCTCTCTACTTCTGCGACACCCCTCGTAGTTTCATAAAATCTTATAAATACCGGCTTGGTCATCGATCATGTATACTTGATACACTGTTTAAGAATTGTATGGTAACGTCGTTCAATATACAACCACAGAGGATTGAATATGCCTTATAGACTCGTAATCCTGTTCATAATTTGTAACAATCTCGTTATGATTTTTGCTAAAAAACCACTAGGTACTGAGGTACCTCCATCCACAACGGGGATGACTGCACAATCGCAAACTGATGATAAGGAAACTGATAACGTTGGATCCGATCTTGATGGGATGAAGGCGTTATTTAATGCAACTTTATCAGAGTAAGATAAAAGTTTTTTTTGTAAGATTTACGGTAATCTACTAATCTACAATATTTTAAACTATAAAAGATATTGAGATTTTGGAGGATTATCTTTAAATTGAATATATTGTTGTAATGAATGTTATATTTTATATTTGACAGATGTTTGTTCATCGACAATTTACATTTACTTGCTGACAATGTGTCATATTGTATGATATTTATGCACTTAAGTATTATTATAATGAATTGCTGTTTGAGTCTTAAATTGTTTTTAAATTATCAAATTTTTAACGAGAACAAGTCACAATTGGTTTATTACAAAAATAATATTTTATAATGTTAAGAATAATACCGGCGTATCTAAATGAATATTATACTCCAGAAGTGCTTAAATTGCTATTTTTCGAGGCATTTTATTATTTCTTTGTCTACTTTATAGCTTCAAAAATGTTATCATTGGCCACTTACCTGAACCATGTTCAAAATACTACGGTTACATTTTGCTACTTTTGCGGCTAATTATTTGAAGTTTGATAGTAAAATTCACCTTACATGCTCAAAAACATAATAGAAACACTATTGAAACATTCATGTTTGCCTATACTAATGAAGTAACATTTCTGAAGCCTAATGTGCCATTAAGAAAAAAAACATGTATTTTTTAAATTATCATTTGTATTTTATTTAAATCATTTTTGATAGTAATTATTTGTTAGCCAATCAAATCAAAACATTATTTGTTTCCTTAGCTATGACACAAGAATCCGGCCACGAATTGACCAATCCCTTGTTGTCAATGTAAACACTACTTTCGTGCCGCAGAGTGTTCTGCATTTTGATACATCCGAACAGAAATTCGCTGTTCTCGGTTACTTCAGGATCGAATGGAAAGACGAAGTGATCACATGGAATCCCGACGATTTTGCGGGGACAAATTATATAAAAGTCCCCATTTCCGAAATATGGACTCCTAGCCTAATAATTCTGAAGGTATTATATTCTATTTGATCAGCGATGAATTGTGTGTCTGGTTGTTTTTGCAAAAACATCGAATTGTCTACTTCCAGTCAATTCTGTTAAAAGCTAAAATACATTTTGATTGTGTTTATTCTTTGTGTCTATGTATTCGGAAAACAATAATAGAAATAATTATTTTGTTTTAAAGGGATACTCAGGCAAAATATCAAAATGATTTAATATACTCAAATCATGCTAAAATGACATTTTCTAAAATCCCAGCATGAAATTCTGTATAAATTCTATTTATTTATGGTTTGAAGCGTAAATATTTCTAGATGTATTGAACGAAATTTAGACGCCGACAGAATCACCGAATAGCTTTAAAACAAGCCATGTGACTTGAACAAACTCTGGAAGTTACAATAACAGATTGTGTGGATATTGAAAGATTGAAACAAGTCTAAGTCACTCATTTGATATGTTCTTTAACGTTTGCATAGTTCATTGTGGGAACTTATGTGATATCTTAAAGCTCTTACCTGACCCACGCGGGTCAAGTTGCACAATAACAAATTACTTCATTGCCAATAAGCAGTTTAAAAAGAACAGTATATACTGTTTTGATTTAAACAAAATCATACCAGTTGAGTGTTTTCTCATATAGGCCTTTGACGGTGACGGTGTTGTTGGAAATGCAAAAACAGACATTGCTAAAATATGGTCTGACGGTTCTGTACAATGGGTTCCAGAGAGTATATATAGGTATCAGTATATTTGATTAAAAAAAAAACACGTTTATGCAATTGGGTACTGATATTTGAACATTTCTTATTCGAATTACACAATTTAATGTACTGCTTATATTAAAATTACATAGACTAAATTTTAAAAGACATATTTGTTTTGTTAAGTAAATGTAACACTTAGATTCTTCATTAAGTGTCAAATGTTATTTTCATTGCAATGCCAGTTATGTTACATTTAGTTTGACATGACAAATGAATTCAACGCTACATTGTGGACAGAGAATACTACTGAATTATCTATCAGAAACAATTAAGTATTTAACTAGATATTGACTGTTATAATGACTATGTTTGCCCTTAAATGATTCTGTATATCTTATTTCTTTTTATCAGCGTTGTTTGCAATGTAAACATCAAATTATATCCATTCGATCACCAAGTCTGCACGGTAACATACTACGTATCTGATGAGACTATAACAACTGTAATGCTTGACCATCCTAAAAGCGTCACTTTGGACGAATACACGGAGAATTCAGCATGGAAGATAACCAGTCTCAACAAGAGGAAGTACCTTCTGTATAACACGTACCACATTGACATAGAATTCCAGCTACAGAGACGACCTAACTTTGCAACATTTACTTTGATCATGCCTCTCCTGATGTTGGCCTTTCTAAATATTTGCGTGTTTCTTGTTCCAGTTGGGTCTGGTGAGAAAGGTTCTTTCGCAATTACCATATTCCTTTCTTACGGTATCTTCGTTACAATCGTAAGTGACACTCTACCGGACAATTCCCTTCAAATTTCCTTCTTTCTTCTCTTTATCATCGTCCTGCTTTTTATGAGCGTCCTGTCCGTCGTGTACACCATCATACAAGCCAAACTTATGTCTAGTATGGGCGACAAAGAATGCAGCATCAAATGTTTACAACCTAGAAAACCCATAATAATGAAACCGACACCTTTTGATCCAACTAAAGGATATACGGATGACGAAAATGATCCAGCAGATTGTAAACCAGTCAGCAGAAATGACGAAGATGATGATGAGATATACACCTGGGCAATGTTTCTGGAGAAACTCGACGTGATTCTCTTCATCATCTTCTTTGCTCTGGTACTTTTATCAACGGCTGCTTTCTTCAGTCTGATGCTTCAAAGAGTAAGCGAGGACAAGTTCAGCAAAATATAGGTGGCATGAAATGTACTCGATATATTCACTAAATTAATCTGAAATTGTATCAGAATAGTTATTTTACAGTGTTTTTTTTAGACTTACATGTGAATATAAATCACAATGAGTAATTCAATGTGGGCGGTATTAAACATTTTAAAACCAGCAGTCACGGGGACTTCTATGTGAATTCAAATTGTGCTATATGATTGATTGTGCTGCTATCTTCGCCGTCTACAAATCTTTTTCACACAGGATATTTTAGATGACCTGTTCAAATGACATTTTTCTTATTGTTTTTGTGCCAATATAAGTTTAATTAGCAGTTAATTTCAAAAAATGCACTATTGTTATAAATATTGACCTATAATTATTATAATTGACAAGCATAAAATGTTTGAACAATCTCACTCATAAAAATTCCGCCTCACTCTTTTCTAACCTTTCCGATACAAAACGAACACTATTTATAGAAATTACCGTTATCCATGTGGATAATTTATTACTTTAAATTAAAATTCACAATTAACACTTTGATTGGCATAATGTCACTTTAACATTCGCCGAATCAAATTCAGTAAGATCAGAACATTCGAAAATATTAACTTACATGTGCACATTGTCATAAATTTGTTATTGTTCGGTATTTCTATTTAATATATTTTTATGTTTATTTTCTCCGATAATTAATTTTCCAATACGTAGTTCATTTATTGTTTTTGTAAACTTTATTTATAAAATTATATAATCTAATTATGACTTTTCAATCAATTTTTATGCCACAATGTTGGCATATAGTTAGGTTATAATACTTAAAGCTTGTTATATTGTGAAACCAAAATAGACTATCTAGCAAAAGATATAACATTTGTCTGATTTTGTTTTAATTTGTAGCGAAGATTTTATAATTGCGAAATTCCATGCGCACATTATGTAAATTATTTTCAACCGCCTGTATTTTCGCCAGAATTTAAAACACAAAACATGTAGCTTATTATTCTCAAAGGAATTTGAATGTTATTATTCATGTATTGAAGCAGATATACAAAAGGTTTAAATACGAACAGATAACATAACACAACATATGATATTTTTTGAACTTATTAATAAAACATTAAGAATAAAAAGAATAAATAATGGAAACTATTTTATAATAATTATACATTTGTTTTTGTACTAAAGATCATATTATCATACTATATATCTCTCCCTGGCGAGCCGTATGTTTATGGCGAATTTTTATGTTTTATCTTGAAAGACAAACCATATGGTTAGTCAAATAAGGAGTGCAATTGTATATCTGAAACACATTCCTTTGCCAAGTTTTGACAATCTTCCTTTTGCAATTATTCAATATATGATAAACAAGATCATCAATGAAAGGCGGCGTTCAATGAACGCAGCCCCCACCAGACCCAGTAACATGAGCCAGTGGCAAGGAGCCCAGGAGGACCCCAAACAAAAACAGGAAAGGGCATAAGGCAGAGTACGGGCAGGCAAACCGCTACCTAAGAATAAATAATTAGAAACTGATAACGAACTAAAAGAAAACAAATAAATAATTGAATATTAGGCCCATAAAGTCAAAAGGCACAGGGTAAGGGGACATGAGACCCGGGGAGGGGGGATAAATAGAATAAATAAAAACTAGGGGCAAATGGGAAGATATTTACCGTAGACGAGAAATCAACAAGGGACACAAAAGCAAAACTTATAGCATTGAATGAAAAATAATATTACTGAAAATCGTTCATTAATTGAAATTGAAGCATTAAATCTATCATTTATTCACAAATTAATCTGTTCTTGCTACCTTAAAATATTTTTATTTTTTGAAATCTTTAAAAATTAATACATGCTCTGTTATAGTTTCGAAAAATTAAATAGTCATTGACCAATTATTTGAACTATCTTTAGCTTTATTGCATTTTTGCAATAAGTATAGTTATAGTGCTTTTAAAATTTTTGTGGAAGTCAAAATACCAGTTTAATTACACTTTGCTAATTTTATAACAAATTATTTCAAAATACATACTACATTATTTAAGTGATGTTTATGTTACATGCCCAAATACCTTTAAAACATTAAAATATGTAATTATTTCTAAGACAGAAAATACCTTTATATTTAAAAAAAAATGAAATTAAAATATCTGTAAGGTTTAGATTTTGAAAGGTTTCATAACGCCCAATAGACAAAAAAATTAAAGCATACTTTAAAAGTAAACATCATATTATAATACAGGGTATAATGACAAAATAAGTTAAAGGTAAATTTTGTTACAAGTCATATATTAAAGAGACATGATGTATATTTCTTAATGTCAAGTACAAATTTATTAGCTTTTATATTTCAAAAGGTTGATAATTGAGCTAATATCAAATTTCGCCCGAATTAGGGTTCTGATTTTATTCAAATATGAATACCTTATTTAGCTGCAACGTTTTATCTCATCTAGTAAGCATATGAATTTAAAAGCTAGTTTTACAAAGTGCAACATAAACTCGTCTATTTTACATCGTTTATGATTGTCAGAAGGTCAATATTGACCATTGTTTGTCTTTGCAGTAACGATAACGTTTTTTACATTTTTAATAAAATGATAAGATCTAAACAACAAAGCAAAACAAACGACACAACTTTATATAAATTTCAGTTTAAGTCTAAAATGGGTTTTTTTAATAGATGTATATATTTTCTGTACAAAAGACCTTTTTCGTCTTCAACCGTAAACAAAACAGAAAATTGAGTAATACAATGTCAGTATGTTTCGCACGCATGTAAGAATATCATTTTTTCTTGTTCTATTGTTATGAACAGAGTAAGTTTTATCAATTTGAATGCAAAAATAAACTTTTACCAGGTTGCTATATTGCAGAACTAGAAATCAATCTGTGTTACACCAAGGACATGCTTGTTACTGCAAGGACTAATCAATGTTACTTAAAGGACTTATTACTGTAAATATACGTTTATTTTTTATCATTGAACTAACAATTAAATGTTAACAACATACAGAAATGAAAATAAGCTTTGAATTATTCTTAAATAGATCTTGAATTTGAATAACAAAGGTAAGGGAAGAACTCTTTTAAAGTTACAGGACGGACATATTTGTTACTGAAATGACAAAAAATAAAGAAATGATAACTTAAAGGTGTTATCATTTATTTACAAACAATAATCATTTGAATTTTATTCACAAATTACGATAATGTCAGGGATTTTAAGAGAGGCTAAAATAGGACTTGGAAAGTAAACAAACAGTCATGTTCTAAGTTTCAAGGGACTACTTTTAATGACTTATTTTAGTAGTTTTGAAGACAACAATTTTCTTTTGTAAAAATGCCTTAAAAGCTTGCTTGTGAATGATATAAGTTAGGTTTGATTTCTATCTGCAAAGTAAACTGTAATTCTTTGTATAGATTATTCAGATTTTCCTCAATTTAAACAAAAGCAATGTACTGTAACAATTGAATAAATATACTGAAACAAAAAAGAAACTTTCTCCAAGTTTGAATGTAGATATGTTAGTACAGTACATTGAGTTTGAATTAAAAAGTCCTTTCAATAACACAGGTTGTCCTTCGAATACCAGTATATAGAAGGAAAATTCTTGGTTCTTATCTCTACAGAGATTAATACCCTCCACTTGTTCTGTATATACTGGTACTGCCTTATTACTTTAATTTCTAAAATCGCTACAGTTATTTTGTGAAATGGCATGCATTTCAATTACCACGATATGTATATTTTCCTTGCAGTAACTTAATGTTGAGGATTTTAAAGGGTGCAAGATTATTCAGATTTTCCTCAATTTAAACAAAAGCAATGTACTGTAACAATTGAATAAATATACTGAAACAAAAAAGAAACTTTCTCCAAGTTTGAATGTAGATATGTTAGTACAGTACATTGAGTTTGAATTAAAAAGTCCTTTCAATAACACAGATTGTCCTTCGAATAATTAAATAACATAAAGAAAAAGTTTTAAATGACATAAATGTCTTATTATAGAATAAATATTAATAATAAATAGATTATGCCAACAAGAAAATATATATCGTATCTTTATCCATAATTATATTTTAAAGAAGAATTGTGTTGTATTTTGTACTTTCAGTAACAGATTTTGTACTTGCAGTAACATTATTGTAAGGACAGTTACTGCAAGGACTCATTCAGGTTATTTTACAGCCTGTTTACACAGATGAGATAAGGGAGACAATTTTGATCATTTAATTCATGACTGAAACATATTTGCAAATAGCAGCATTACAAAAGGGAATCTTTCTCATAAGTTAAATAATTAGAATCTCGTTACTTAAAGGACACTGTTCGAAATCATGATTCCAACCTTTAATCAATGTCTTCCAATTTTCTAATTCCTATTTAAAATTTCCATATGTTTCGTTGCTGTAGCCATGTATTACACCTATCACCTTCTTTTGAAGAGCACACTGCAACAATTTACTTATACTAAAATAATCTACTTATAGTACTGTTACTTGAAGGACATTTTTGTCAAAAAGGTGGGGATAAAATAATAACTTGCATTTTGCAAATTGAAATGCTAAACTTGGGGCTTTTACTGCATAAATATATTTTATAAAAGGTTATATTTTGCGTTAGTTAACAAAAATATGTATTTTAGAAATACAAATTTACATGATAAACAGCTGAAATTGGGATTTTGACTTTAGGACGAGGGAAAATCAGTTTTAATTTAGGATTACGACACTTCCAGAAAAAAATATGTTTAATATATTATCATGTAAATGTCTTAGTTTACAATATTTTATGTACTTACAAGCATCCAAATTTATTTTTTATATAATGATCATGCATTTTGTGAAAAATTGAAAAGGACAAGATTACAGGCAAAATCTGATATTGGCTCAATTACAATGACGATTAAAAAATAAATGATAATGACAAATATTTACGATAAATATTTACAGCATAATGTCGATGTAGTACTGTATCACTTCAATTTCATGAAATTGACGTACTCTCAAGATGATATTTTAAATATCGAATGCACATACTTTAAACATATTTATTTCCCAAATATATATATAAATATGTATTGACATATTTAAAAAAAATGATTAAAACAAAAGTCTAAGTCCTATAAAAAGCTTCTCCTTTTTTGTCTTTCTATAATGTGTCGAGTAAGAAACTATACAGCAATAAAAAATTACTGAACAATACTGATAAATGTGATGTTGTAAACAAAAACACAACACAATTACAAAATTGATCTAATTAATCCATTACTTCATGAGCATTTTGTGAAAAATGGCTGTTTTCGTTGAAAAGTCTCCCGTTACAAGTTCAAATTGCTATAATAGTATAAAAACTGCTTCAACACTAATCAAACTTGACACAAATGTTGACTGGACCATTGCCCTTGCAACAACATGCTCAGGCTTAAATTTTCTGTTACCATGGCGACGAGGGGACATCTCAAAATTGCCAAAAATCACTATTTTGCGTTGATTTTTTCCATCAAAATTGATTTCAAAGTGCTGCAACTTCTCAATGGATTGAGATAGAGTCAAACGCTTTTCAGTGTTGGTTACACGTTACCTAATGATCAATCTGGGGTCATTTATAGCCTCTCACAAGTCCAAAATTTTCTAACCCCCCCCCCAAACAGAATGGGGCACATCCCCCTTCTGGCAACCCCCTGATGTACCTTTTGGTTGGGCGGCCGCGCCGAAAAAGTGGTCACTTTTTCTAACAACATTTCTCAAACAAAAACAAGTGTTTGGGGCCTAAATAAGGCATTTTTTTCACCATTTGAGACAACAAAAGGGGGGGGGGGGTGAAAAAGGCGTTGAAAGGCGTGTATATAACGTAATGGGTTAAGAGAAGAGAAAGATTGTCGCACAATTAGATCACAGAAAGCGCGTTGTGTTCGATATGTACGTATGAACATACTTGAAAAAAATGGCATTATCTGTATTAGAGATATATTTTTTTTAAAAATGGTGGTAGTTTAAGGAGCTGCCATTTGTGTGCAAACTTGCACGTTATATTTGAAGTT